TCGTTGGTCTAGGGGTATGATTCTCGCTTAGGGTGCGAGAGGTCCTGGGTTCGAATCTCGGACGAGCCCCACTTTTCCTTCTTTTCCCAACCATGAACAGATATATTTTTTTCATAAACACATATTTTTTTAATGAAATATTTGGAGGAAGAGGCAATATTATCGTTGGTTAAAAGCAAAGGAAGGTATGTATTATTTTAGTATTTATTCAAATTGAATGAGTGTAAACATTGAGAAATGCTAATTAGCATTTCATTGTTGAATAGGAGACTGCTAATGAGAAGAACAACATATAGCTATATTCTTAGCATGATCATTTTTAATCGTGTTCAGAATTCTTCACTTCGTAGTTTTAATAACAAATTCACGTCACTAGGACGTTGAATGCAGTTGCACTCAATCCTTAAAGTTGGCTTAAACCTTTAAAGATTTTGAAGTTTTACCCTTTACAACTTGTGTGTTCTCAATTGGGAAAATTAATCTGCCTACTGTTTATGCAAGTGAACAGGTACAAAGTATATGCAATTTGTGGGAAACATATTTACTACTAAATATAGATATGTTAAGTTATATATCAAATAAATAGACATTCTTTCTTTCAAAATGAACTTGAAAATCTTTTGAAACTGACTTTTGTGTGTATATGATTACTAACTGTGGTGCGATATGTCCCGGATACGAATCGTAGACTAATAAGATTGATACAATCAGTTAACAATAAAAAACAAATGAAAAATCCACACAATGTTTCAAAATCAATGCATGAATTCATCATTAGAACTACAAGGTGAGGAAGTATAAACACATTTTATCAAAGTTACTTACATGTGTCAATTAAAAATGATCATGCAAACAATATATGTATATGTGTATGTTCACAATCATTTTACAATGAACAAATTAAGAAACCCCACACAAAGTTTAAAAAATAATGCACTGTAACCCGTTTTTCACCATTTAGAACACACAAGTTATAGGTTTAGATGATGTTAGTTGTAAGCTGTTAAAAACAGCACGTTCTCATATTTCTTCTTCTTTGACATATAGATTATTTAATATATATGTCAAAGAAGAAGACACGATGTAGCTAGATAAATGCAAAGATGAACACAGTGGAGTATGTTCAAGTTCAAGTTCTTTAGTATGTCGTGTCTGAAGAGCATGTGTTGAAGGATAAATGATATCCAAGTACTTTTGGAAGTTCTTGTTATATCTTATATTGTTATATGCGAAACTAAAGTATTGAAAAAGTATTTCACATGCCGTCTTCTTAATCTCTCGTTAACATTCAGCTTCATATGAGGTACACCGATTGCTCTTTAATCCTTACAGTGACATAGAATGATAGTGGACTATATGTACCTCCTGATTGATGTAACGTGAAATGTCACGACATGTGACACTGCTGGATTTAAAGTGAAACGTCACGACATGTGACATTGATGGATGTTACGTGAAACGTCACGACATGTTACACTTACTATACAAAAAAACGCGTATACTCTCCCAGTACCGGTTTCCACATCCATTTTGTTTTTTCCTTCGGTAGTTCTCGTCTTTATCTTTTGAGTTCCGGTTTTTACCCTTGTGTTGATGCTGAAATGCATATTGTCTTGTATTTTGTCCTACTTTTGTCCTAGATGGAGGAGTAATGCTGTCGTCCTAGTCTGGAAATGAAGAAAGCGATAGTTCCAAAACAAAACAGGATAATTGGTCCTCGTGTTTTTTGGATGCCAGATGTTTCGGATTTGACTCCATAACGATTGACAATAATCGGTTTTGTTGTGGTTTTGAAAGGCTATTTTAACTGTAAAGGAACTAAGGGGTTTAGTTGTAACTTCTTCTTCGTCTAACGGTGCTAACTTAGTTAATAACAAAACACGGTATACATTAAGTTTTCTTTAATACATCCAATATATATGAATAAACGAGCATCGCAACTGCACATGACGGGAAAGCACGTAAACAAGTAACGACAGTGCCTCTGTAAAACACTCGGAAACCCTCTTCTTTATAACTAGCAATAGCACAGTCTAAAGGGCGCTTATAAACACCGCTAAAATCTGCCTGATACCGACTTTTTATGACATCGAAAGGCATGGTCGCAAACCAAGCAAAACTCCCTGCACATCCCCCGGAGACAAGCTCAGCGATGATACCCCGATTGTCTGTCCAATGTTTCTTCCTGAGAAAGTCGCCAATGTAGGAATATGTGAGCATGTACAGGCCACAGGTCGGGATGTCTCTTACCGCCATTACAGTTCCCCCCTTATACAGACCTGACAGACCTAATGTTCGGTAGGTGTGGATGGTACATTCTACAGGCCCGCGAAAATAATACCTCTTCTGATGACGAGTCTCCACTGAACCTAAAAAAAAGGATATCATCGAATAAATATGATACATGTAATATCAATATTTGATACGATACATTGCAAGTACAAATTAACTAGTCTAATAAAATTTAAAAAGTGATTAATAAATAAATAACATCACATTCACAGGTATTAGTCTCGTCAATACTCCTATAATATAATCATTATATCATAGGTTTATTGAAAGACGGGGCTAGTACCTGTGATCACATTATTGTACGACTATTTTGAAACAATATTGCATACCACTCTTTTCCTGCTGAATTTGCGATTGAAGAACTACTTTTATGTAATCAAATGGTATTGCTACCACTTGGAATGTTGCTCCGCCGGCACATCCGGCTAAGTACACATTGGTATAATGCGTCTTCCGGGTTTTTGGGTCCTCCCTTTCTAAAATCTTCATTGTGTTGCCATATACGCCGAGAAGTATGCTGTTAACTATACCAAAGGTAAACAGGGGCCACGACAATCCACGGAAGAATCCTCGTACCTACAACATACCAGGAATCAGTAGATGTATACGGCACACTAAAATGTCGGTAAACAAAATATCTGAGGAAGGAATGTGTAATGTTATATTTCCCATTGATTTTTATCCCACTCTTGTGTCGGACTGCATGGTCCTGCAATGCAAGACCATGTTGCGACATTAAAAAGTCCAAAACATCTTCACTTTTATTCTAGTGACTCTTCAGTTTCTGTTGTTGGCCTGATTTTATATTGCGTCACTTTTAATTGACAATGAGAGAAACAACGACATTTCTTTTTTATGATAAAATCAAGAAACGTCATCATGAATTAAAAATCCGTAACACTGAAAATATTCAAGATGCAGAAACCCGGACAGACAAAATGCCGGCGATATGTGACACTTTAGAGTTTTCAAAACACCTCTAGTAAAAGTATATACGATAAAGATTAAAAATATCAAATAAACATGAGAAATACCAAGCAAGGAAGCGCCTATATAATAACTTAGATCTACATGGCAATATTCCACGCATTCAGGAATCATCAGTACTACTAAACAAACAAACTGAAATCCAGTTGAAAGTTCTCCGAAACTTTATGTTTAGCTAATTACAGAGTAGCTACTATGGGCTGTAACATATCGTTTAGTTTGAAATTGGTATATGTTGTAAAACCGGTCCAGAATATATTCAATTTTCAACATTACGGCCAAAATTGGGGACTGATCGCCCATCAGCAGAGTCATCGATCTTCAGAAATAAAATAGAATTACTCGTAAGAAATCATAACCTTTGTACAGTATGAATGCCTTATTGATATTTGAAAAATTAAATGCTTCACATTTAGTTTGACTACCTACCCAGCCGGTCTGGTTGATACCCGACATAGCGTCTATCGTCCCACGATAACGCTGGTCAACGGTCCGGGTCTGTAACTGGACCTAGGATGAGAAATATGAATAATAAACCCATGTCTTTGTTATATAATGTTACATATAACTGAATCACAACACAGCCTTCTATGGACAACACGCAGTAAGTTATGTTAACTTTATTTATTTTACAATAATTATGAAACAAGTTATTACAACTTATAGATAGTAATCACACTTGTTGGCCAGGATGGAAGCGCGCAGAACTCTTAATGTGGGAAGATCTGGAGTACCCTGCGAAAACCCACGTGGTCATGCAAATGACCCAATACTTTTTCACGTCCGATTGGGGAGTGTTGATTGCCTTATCTTTAAAACATTTTGAAAGCATCAACATTCTACTATATTAACTTTTTGTTATCACAATGTATGGAACCTATAACAAACGTAAAACTTTTTTTTTCCTTCGGGGAAAACTGTTAGTGAATGAGTGACACATACTTGTTTTTGGAAACTCACTCTGTAACCGTCTTTATTTCCGCGTGTATATGTATTAATGTATTAAAGGGTTTCTATCAGATAATAGGAATGTCATCCGGAACAGTGATTATTTTCATATACTTGTTTAGTGCAGTTGGTATCTATATATGCTCTGGTGCCAGCTTAACACTTCATTATTAATATAAACATGTTGATGAGACTTATGAAGTACAATGTATATACAGGTACGTAGTCATCAAAACAACGAATACCGAAGTGTCATTTAAATCGTGATTCGAACTCAACATAGATAAAATTATAAAATATATGAATATGAATATATATTTGGAGAGTCTTTATATAGTACAAGTCGAATAAGACGGGTGTTCGAAAAGAATAAGCGTCTTCTGTTTTATCGACGACACCGCCATATAAATCAGGGTTAAATTCAAGTAATGTCACGAACAAATATAATGTAAAATTGAAATTGGGGAAAAGGGGATAATGAGGAAGATGTATAATTAAATTTTCAAAGCGAACGAATGACAAACAAATTTGAGATATCCAGATGACTTTCGTAATCACTAATCGGAATGCAAGAAATTAAGGATGCATATGGCTGGCTCTTCTAAAAATTATTTGAGAATATTTCATTTCCTTCACATACGGATTACCATGATATGGCGCTATATGTTTGCAATCACAGACAAAACGATAAGCATATATTTTCAGAAAAAGCTTCATAATGAGTGATGCTTCTATTTTGTAATTAACAGAGTACATGCGGACATGTAGTTCGGCAATTTCAGTGTAGTACTTTAATTTCCTAAGGAGAAGCTTGATCTCCGTTGAATGATTTCCATGCATAAATGTGAACAATGATGTATACTACGTATACTGTGATTAGTGGTGGCCTTCATACTTTATTGGGTTACACGAATACGGGTTCCACATGTGGCGGAGGAAACGCTTACCCTTCCGGGGTATCTAGTTTCGCCCCCTCTTTGTTGTGAGGTTTTTGCAAGAATTCATGATGATAAGAACATTCTATCCCGGTGGCTTTGTAAACAATACGAAGCTGTAAGAGTTCTTTGTGTGGGTTAAGACAACCCTATATTTTAAAAAGTTTTCCCATGACTTACACAACTTATGAGCTTGTTATCAAATCCTTATTCTTCAATTGATCAATCAGCTGATGATAAGTGCATTCGTTTTTTAAATTTTTGCATTTCTTTTGCTGGAGGTTTTTGTGAAATGGTTTGTTTTTTTGGTGGTGGTGGTGGTGGTGGTGGTGGG